ATTGCCATAGTTCCACAACAGCCTCTCTCCCCGGCTCTTATCGTTCTTATTTTATTCCCCTATTTTAATATCCAGAGATGCTATAACACACATCCAAATGACTTCCTCAACCACCAAATCACCTGTGGCAATATGTGCCTATTAACCACCACCATTAAATCACCCATCTTTCCAACTGTCTCCCTAGCTCTTTTCTTTTATATCCAGAAATACCCTTCCACATAATTGACTGATATCTTACCCCATTACCAAAGCGCCCATGGTATTGTTTTCAACTATTAACTACCATGATAAATAACCCGTGTTTCCAATTGAATAATTTAAATACAAATCCCGTTAAGGGAAATACAAACCATCAGAGGTGAGGGAGATGAGAAGGGGGCATGTCCCCAGCTCTTAAATACAAAATCAAGTGAGCGTTACTTGATCTCAATCAATTCAGAACTTTTCTGCTTGACCCTTAAGGATACCTGCATTTATAATACTGACATATAAAAGCTTATAAAGCGCATAACTATTAGGCTCGATTTCTAACCTTCAGCAACAACAACAGAAGTTGCTGGAAAAGCTCAGCAGGTCTGGCAGCACCTGTGAAGGAAAAATCAGAGTTAACGTTTCGGCTCCAGTGACCCTTCCTCAGAACAGATGGTAACTGGGAAAACGTTGGCTTATGTGCGGAAAATAGGGAGGGGGATGGGGTAGGGAGTAAATGATAGGATAGTGTTATTATCACTGGACTGTTAGTCCAGAGACCCAGATAAAGTTCTGGGGACCCAGGTTCAAATCCCACCATGGCCGATGGTGGAATCTGAATTCGATAAATATCTGGAATTAAGAATCTAATGATGGCCGTGAATCCATTGTCGATTGTCGGAAAAACCCATCTGGGTCACTAATGTCCTTTACAGAAGGAAACTGCCATCCTTACCTGGTCTGGCCTACATGTGACTCCAGACCCACAGCAATGTGATTGACTCTTAACTGCCCTCTTCGCAATTAGGGATGGGCAATAAATGCTGCCAAGCCAGGGCTTGCTGTCTCATCCCATGAATGAATACAAAAAAAAAGGAGGACATAGTACGCCCTAACACACTGGCCACACTGCCCTACATCAAGAACATATCAGAACTGACAACGAGACTCCCACGACCACTAGGAATCATGGTCACGCACAAGTCCACAGCCACGCTATGAGGGTTGGCACGGTGGCTCAGTAGTTAGCACTGCTGCCTCACAGCATCAGCGACCTGTGTTCGATTCCACCCTCAGGTGACTGTCTGTGTGGAGTTTGCACATTCTTCCCGTGTCTGCATGGGTTTCCTCCAGGTGCTCCAGTTTCCTCCCACAGTCCAAACATGTGCAGGCTAAGTGGATTGGTCATACTAAATTGCCCATAGTGTTCAGGGATGTGTAGATTAGGTGGGTTATAGGGGATGGGTCTGGGTGGGATGCTCTCAGGGTCAGTGTGGACTTGTTGGCCAAAGGGCCTGTTTCCACACTGTTGGGATTCTCTGAATTTATTTTATTGATGTTTGTGAAAGCTTGCTGTTTGTGTTTTCTACAATGCCACAATGATTGGATTCCAAAATGAGGTCATTGAAGGCGACAAAGCAATAAAATAAAACAGTAATTCTTTGAAATGAACATATTGGTTGTACTAGATAACACAGTGTGGAGCTGGAGGAACACGGCAGGCCAGGCAGCATCAGAGGAGCAAGAAAGCTGATGTTTCGGGTCGGGACCCTTCTTCAGAAATGGGGGAGTGGGGAAGGGAGCTCTGAAATAAATAGAGAGAGGAGGGGTGGGGCTGGGAAAGGTAGGTGGGGTGGTGATAGGTGAGTGCAGGGAGGCAGTGGTGGGGAAAGGCAGTATGGCTGTGGCACCTGGTTTGTTTCAGTATGCGGTCGAGCAGTTCTGAGGTATACATAACAAGCCCAACTGGTTTAATTGAAATCACAAGCTTTTGGAGCGCTGCTCATTCACAAGTTTACTGATTTTTTCCTTCTAGGTGGCTGTATAGCTCTTGTGAAAGATGCTATGCAAACTCAATTGCTCTTTTCTTCTTTCGAATTGAAGGGTGTTCTGATTTTTTTTGCTCTTTAGATATGAGCTATATCTGATCAAGGTTGCTATTGTCAATATTTCATATAATGTGTAGGACCTCTGCCATTCGAGTGCTATGTGAAAACAGCATCCAACTGAGCTGACCACTTGGCACACTTGTAAAAGCTGTTTCCTTAACCAATAGAAAGGTACTGCATGAGGAACTAGGGCAGACAAGTTACATGGTGCAACATTTGAAGCACTATCATAAAAACATGAAGCAGAAGTAGGCAATTTGGCCCTTTCATCTTGATCTGCCATTTAGCAAGGTCATGGCTGATCTGATTTAACTCCAAATCCACAATCCCACTGACCTTAGATAATTCTTCACTCTCTTGCTCACCAAGAATCTATCCACCTCTACCTTAAAAATGTTCAGAGACTCCATTTCCCACCATCTTTTCAGGAAGAGAGTTCCAGAGACACATGGACCCTCACAGATAAAAAAAATAGTCTAATCGCAGTTTTGTTTTTAAATAGCAACTTCTTATTTTTAAATAGTGCCCCCTAGTTCTTGATTCTCCTATAGCAGGAAGCATCTTACGGTGGCTCGGTGGGTCAGTGGTTAGCGCTGCAGTCTCACCGCACCAGGGACCCGGGTTCGATTCCACCCTCGGGCGACTGTCTGTATGGATGTCCACCCTGTGTCTTTGTGGTTTGTCTCCGGGTGCTCTGGTTTCTTCCCACAGTCCAAAGATGTGTAGGCTTGGTGGATTGGCCGTGCTAAATTACCCATAGTGTCCACGGATGTGTGGGTTAGGTGCATTAGCCATTGGAAATACAGGGATAGGATAGGTGGATTGGGCTGGGTGGGATGCTTTTCGGAGGGTTAATGTGGACTTGTTGGGCTGAATGGCCTGTTTCCACACTGTAGGGATTCTGTAAAATCCTCTCCACATCTACCATATCTAGACCCCTTGGGATCTTATCTGTTTCAGTCAAGCGGCCCATTATTCTATTAAATTCCAGTGGATACAAGTCTTTCCTGTCCAACTTTACCCCATAAGACAACCCATCCATTTCAGATATCAGTCTTCTAAACCTTTCCAGAACTGTTTCCAATACATTAACATCCTTCCTTACATACACACAACTCAAGATATGGAATCAGCAGTACCCTTTCTAACTGGAGCGTAACATCTCTGCTTTTGTAATTAATTCTCCACACAATTAATGATAACCTTGTATTAATGCTCCAAATTACTTGCTGTACATACATACCAACCTTTCATCATCCAGGCACTAAATAGCTCTGCAGCTCAGAGCTCTGCCATCCCTCACTATTTAGGTTTTATGAGGCATAAGTATAAAAGGGATGGAAAGACTATGTTTCTCAAAGCCTCCAGACTTGGGTCCTGGTTTGATGTGGTCGTTTTTCTGCATGACATAGTTTCTCGTGCACATGTTTAGGAGCTATTCTTAGAGTAAAGGTACAGTTCATCATTTATTCCACGCACCCGAGAAACTTTTAAAGGACTGTCGCTCACTTTCAAGGGAGAACTGGCTCAAAATTTCAAGAATCTTCAAAGCAAGTTGTAGAGTTGGAATGGGGTTTGGCTTTAAGAAATTACTTGGAAGCTAATTTCATGCAAGTTGACAGAGCAGTTGAACCATGTATAAACTAAAGGACATCGGAACAGTTCAAAAATAGCAAAAAGCAAGTGCAACAACTACAGACAAGTCACCTCCTTTTAAAGGTAAATGAGCAAAACTTTTGGAAGGGGTTTTTGATATGTTGTCTATGAACAGAAGAGTGCTGATTGTCAGAAGTATTTTACAAGGATCGCAGGCACATCACGGATTCCAGTGAGACGATGTTTCTGTCAGATATCCCGGAAAGACCATGCCAAGTCAAAACAAAACTGTAACCAGCAGATTAAATCAGGTTTTAGTGAGCATGGATTCTCAGAGGATCCCAATGATGTTGACCACAATCAAAAGCTCTGGATGTCAACATCCAGTCCTTAAAACCCTTCTGCTCAAGGTTGATGATCTGTCAACTCCTAAAAGATCGATTCCCCACTCCAGACAGACATGTAACACTGTTTTAGGAAATTCCCTTTCTGCGTGTTGCCATAATATCAAGGTTATGAGCTTGTGTGCAACTTTCTGGATTCCAAATATTTTTATACTGTCCACGTTAAAGCAAATCTTACCGATGTGGATTCATTCCACCATAATATGAGCCTGTGCACTATAGTCACTAGATATGTGTAAAAGCAAAGTGGGTTCACTGTGTGACTTAAGGGTGGCACTTGTGACAATGTAGTGCTCCTTCAGGCAGCATTGAATTTTATCAAAGGAGCTGCTGAACAATACTCTAATCTTTGTTTTGGGTATGTAGATTTCCGAGTTCCATGTGTGGCATTAGCTTGTTGGTACATTGATCAGTGTGTACAGAATCCAGAGCGGGGAAAATCGCTTCTCAACAGTTAGAACATATGCAAAGCCTGCCTAACCCTCTTCACATTTAGAGGGATATGGATCAAGGGCAGGCAGAAGGGATTGGTTTAATTTGGCATCATGTTCAGCACAACGTCGTGGGCCAAAGGGCCCATTCCTGTGCTGTACAGTTCTATGTTCTATGTTCAAATTATTTTAATATTTTATTGCTTGGAATTTGATGTTTTTCCTCCAATCTATATTGCACTGCTAATCCATTTGCAAAAATGTGGAAGGGGCAGCATGGATTAAGAGTTCAATTGGGTGGAGTAAGGTTTAAACCATAGCTCAATCAAAAACTCTACAGTCACCGAGCCCAGGACTAAAATTGAATATTTCCAGTGTTAAAAAAACCGATTTTTAACACTGGAAATAGGCAGTCATTTTGGTCATACAGTCATTTTCCCTCTTCCGTCCCTAACCTTTGCATTCTTTTATGTTGCATGTTAACTTACAGTTCCAGGAAAATGAAATATTCCTTGCGTGTTTCAAAGACATCGACCAGCTGTAATATGTTTGGATGCTTCACCCTGCGAGAAAGAACAAAGCATTTCAACATTGGCTGTAGAAATGAAAAGCTTATTCTCCCATATGACTGAAAGGGAGAAAGAAACATCAACATTGGTGAGAACAGCAGACCTCTGAGAAATCTTGCAACATTGCAAAATGTAATTGAGCTAAATGAGCTCCCCTGATTTAGGAGACTCATTTGCATGGCCAGGTGCATTTGTTTAAAGTTCACTGCTGAAAGATGGATTCTAAGGGGTGATCTTCAAGTACATGTCCATGTCTTCAATGTTTGGATAAATACCAATAGAGAGCAAATTTCAACCTGCCCATGCCACTGCTATTTGGGTAATCTATCTCCACAACATTTAGGCAACACTTGTTGGCTGGGCTGTCTGTTGACCTCTACGTGCTCAACGCAAACTACTGCAGCTTTATTAAGCATTAGCTTGTTGGAAGCAGAGCCAGTGGTGCAGTGATGGTATTACTAAAGGTAAATTCACCATCACCATACAGAAAGATGACTCGTGGTGAACTTAACCTAAGCGTCTCCATGCCTTAGGTGAAGCATGACATTGAGAAGGAAGAACCTACATGGTGAGCCCCAGCTGGGGCAGGAACTGTCCATACACTATTGTCATCATAAGCCAGCTGTCTAAACAACTGAGCTAACCTATCCCTTGATGCTGTTACTAATACTCTGGTGACCCAGGCTGATTCTCAGAGGATGCGGGTTCAAATCCCACCATAGTGACTGGTGCCAATTAAATTCAGTGAATTTAACCAAATCTGAATTGTAAACTTATTCCAACATGCCATGGAACCTGTGTCACACAAATGGAAAAGGCAAAGCAATTTTCAGCTTACTACAATGCCAGTTATGAGAATGCATGCAAGAAATGATATGTTAAATTGCTGAATTTGCAACTTTAATCTTTGAGGGAACAGAGGGTTAAGGGAATGAAATATAGCCAGGACAGTTACAACATTTAGACATTTGGACAGGTACATGAATAGGATGCGTTTAGAGGGATATGGGCCAAACCGTAGGGAAATGGGACTAATTTAGTTTAGGAAACCTGGATGAGTTGGACTGAAGGGTCTGTTTCCAAGCTGTAAGACTCTAAGCTGTTATAATTCTATAAAACCTGACCAATTTGTTTGTCTTCTTAAGGCAGGATATAGGTAATAAAAAGACCAGGGCCTGGAATTATAAGAGGTCAGACATGAAGTTGGTTCTTATTGCAAACCTTCCAACGGGACCAATACTTCTGATTCTCAAAACACCAGCAGGGTGACTAACATTAATGGAGTCTTGAAACTTCCCATTTCATGGTTATTGTTGTGGCCAAGGAGCAAGAAACCTTGGAACAGTGTGAAGGATACATCTGAATGATGCTTATCATAAACAAGGGATGTTTAGAGATCTTCTAGCAGTCAAAAAGGGTATTTTGAAACAGTCCATAGGAACTCTGTCGATGAGGGATGACCAGCTTGACCTTTCACATTCGTGACCATACAGAGAGTAACCAACCTCTGACTGCTTTTGTTTTGTCCTGTTAGAGCTTTCTGTGTAGTTGTGTGAGGGGTGGTCCTATAATCAAACAGGAACCAGGACAGTTTGGTATTGAGTGAAGCTTTAGGCTGTGTCTTTGACCCTGCTTCTGAACACGAGTACAGAGGCGTATAAGAAAAGACAGAGTTGGAGGTCAGCCAGTGCATCAGAATTACATTTCGTTCCCCGCGTATCTGGCAACACTCCAAAGTGTGAACACAGACTGGAAGGGGGCAGCTGGGCTGGGTATTGTTCACAGAAAGTGTAAACTTTTAGTCTTCTGGTTAAGTTAAAGCAGGTGCCTGGAAGAAGTGGTGACCTTTGTTTCTTGCAGTTTAACGTAAGGGGTTTGAAGGGAAAAGCTTGAGGCTATGTGGCAGATTCAACGTTGTGAAAGTAACCAAGGCGATTTGATGTGTAAACCTTTGATTCCATTGTAAAAAAGAAGTCAGGCCAATTCTCCTGCGGATTGGAAAGGTGCAGCTTCTGCAGGGCATTTATAACAATAAGGACATCATTGTATTAAAATAAATCAGTTTGTAAATTCTTTAATCAACCACCTCAGGTTATTATTACACATCTCTGGAGCAGGTAGGACTTGAACCCAGGCCTTCTGGCTTAGAGATAGGGATACTATCACTGTAACATAGTTTGTATTTTTTTTAATATAAGCTTGTTAGCTTTAATAGTGCCCACATAATGTTATTCACCTGTTCATTAACTATCAGGGTGGCACGGTGGCTCAGTGGTTAGCACTGCTGCCTCACAGCGCCAGGGACCTGGGTTCAATTTCATCGTCAGGCAATTATCTGTGTGGAGTTTGCAAATTCTCCCTGTGTTTGTGTGGGTTTCACCTGGGTGCTCCCGTTTCCTCCCATAGTCTGAAGATATGCAGGTTAGGAGGATTGGCCATGCTAAATTGCCCCATAGTGTCCAAAGATGTGCAGGCTAGGTGGATTAGCTAAGGGAAATGCAGAATTACAGAGTTAGGGTTGGGGAGGGTGAGTCTGGGTGGGATGATCTTCGGAGAGTCAATGTGGACTTGATGGGCCAAATGGCCTGCTTCCACACTGTAGGGGTTCTATGATCAGCATACTGTTCATATCCTTGTGATTTTTAAGCCTAATTCAATAAAATTAGTTTGAGAATTTAGTACCTTTGCCAGTGTCATTATTTATTATTTATTCCATTCAAGTCTGAATTCTACCTAATGGTTCAAGTGTTACATTTTTGTCAATTACCCAATTGGTTCACTAATTTCCTTTAGGGAAGGAAATCTGCCATCCTGATGTGGTGTTGCCTACATGTGACTCTAGACCGACAGCAATGTGGTGGTCTCTTAACTGCCCTCCACCTAGCTATATGGAACTGCGTCCCTGTCTAACAGCATTATGGATGTACCCGGGCCAGAAGGACCACTGCAGTTCCCAAAGGTGGTTCACCACCACTTTCTTAAAGGCAATTAGGGACAGGCAATAAATGCTGCCCTTGCTATCAATGCTTATATCCCATGAAAGGATAAAACAAATAAAACTATCTGTGTTTTAAGAACCTGCATTTCAATAGATTTACAATAGGCGGAGAGATGGAATAAAAGTAGATACAGAGGAAAAGGATGGGAAGAATAAGTGTTAATTTGTATTTTTCTTTGTAGTTACTGGTAAAATATGAGAGCTTTTGGCCCAAATAAAATTTGGAATTGTCACCTGTTACCATGCTGCAACATATTAATGATTTAACAATCCTGGCATCCATTGGTTGCCAAACTTGCTGTCAATTTCCAGACTGATTTCAACATTTAGACTTCTAGATCCTCCTGTGAGATTTCTTGCCAATTCTCAGAGTCATTTTGGACACCAAACAAACAAGGCTTTGAAGTCAAACCTGCTAAACTAATTATTCATATCCTTCTGATTTAGTTTTAAGTATTCGACATTCAGTATTAACCAAAAAATATTTAGTATTAAATGTTAAATGTATTTATTTTTAGGTATTCTGGCATTGCAAACATTTATTGCACATTCTTAATTGTCCTTCAGACATTGGCGGTGAGCTGTCTCCTTGAACCGTTGTAGTTCTAATAGTGTCAATACGGTGTGGAGCTGGAGGAACACAGCAGGTCAGCAGAGTCAGTGTGGTGTGGAGCTGGAGGAACACAGCAGGTCAGCAGAGTCAGT